TGTTGGCGTTGATTTTGAAGTAACACATTCCCGATAGTCTCGATGAGTTGAGTTAATTTCGCGTTCGACGATGCGACATAGTTATTCTTGATGTTGTCGCTCGTGAGCGTCACTATCTCCTCGAAAAGGATAGCGTGTAAGAAATCTATCGAATGGTATTCATAAATATACTCTCCTATCGAATAACTCACTAATCCCATAATGTATAAGGTTCTTCTATAAGTCCAAACTTATCCTCAAATGAACATATATGGACATGTCATACTAAAAAAAATCTCAAGAAAATAAAAATATCACAAACTCAACCGAAACCAAAATCAAAGTCTCACAACCTCACCGTGGTCCTAAAAATTTTATTTTAGTCCTAGAAACTTTTAACCATTCTTCAAAAAAAACATATTGAAAACTCCCTTGAAAAATTGTTAAAAGAAAATGTTTTGAAAACTTCTTTAGAAAACCAAAAAAAATAATTGTTTTAAAAAAAAACTTGTTAGATACTTTGGACTAGTTGCCGCCATACCAGTTGTTAAGGGTACCATCTTAACAACCAGAGACTTTGCAATCCGAGTCCCCAGAGTCTCTGATACCAACTTGTAACACCCCCAAATTTCCCACCCAAAACGTTGATATAATTGAAATAAAACTTTTATTTATTGATAATGAAAATTTAAAGAAAGTACAACGGAAGTCTTAATAAGGGAAATGGGTGTTACCGCCACATCCGGTTGTAAATGGGCCTCCCAAATCCAAGTAGGCAGGATGTTTTCTACCACCTACTCACAAGGGACATTGTCCAGGGGTAAATTAGGTAACTACTACTACGACCACCAAAGGACCTTTGGTCCTCAAATAGAAGTCCGGGATGTCTACCGGAGCATGTCATTGCCGGACTGGTTACCGACCCAAATAAATTTCACCAAAAGTAGTAGTAGTCCTAATCACCCACGCCTCGTGTTTCTCTCGAGACGTAAAAGTATATTATGAAAAACTTTAAGTTTTCTCCCAAAGTCATTCTTGTCACACTTTCCAAAAATATACTTTGTAATAAATATCAATCCACCAATATTCTTTAATAAAAAGAATATACATTTAATAATCCATAATAAATAATAATTCACCAATATCCATACATTCAAAATATTCATTCCATGTCAAACAAATAGTTTCCAAATCATAAATAGTTCACATAGTTCAAATATTGCACACATATAAATACGAGATAAAACATTTTTGGTTGACATAGAACTTACCTTAAATTGCGATAATCCCCTTAATAAAATCTCTAGCTTGGCCTTCACTTGAATTCACCTTCTAATATATATCAAAATTCTAAATCAATACTAATTCTATTATTTGTGTTATTTCCTATCTATCCAACCTTTAATTATTTTAATTAATTTAATTTCATAATTCCTTATTTAAATATAACTTTTACGTTAGATTCATAAATCTTATTTAATTGTTAATTTTCAATCCAACCTTATTATTTTCTTTAATCATACTAATCCCCTCCATAATTTACTTTAACTTATTTGGTTAATTAGTTAACTAGTCTAATTAAATTAATTACATAATAGTTTCAATATTTCGAATTTAAATAATCAATTTCAGTTCAATTTCAGTTTACATAATTTATATAATTTATTTAATAAACCTTTGAATAATAATTTTCCGTAAGAAATAATTCGAAATATTAATCATTAATGATAATCTATTCTCAATAATAACTTCAATTAGTTTAATAGTTTATTTATACTAACTAATCCAATTACCATAACTAATTCAATCCTCCAGTTTATTTATTTGGCTAACTAAATTAATTTAATTAATTTCATCAACTAAATAAGTTTAATTACATAAATATAGTTAAATACATTAATCTAATTCAATTAAGGCAATCAATCAAATTCTAATTTCGTTTTAATTTTATATTTTTAATATAAATGATAGAGTATATCTAGAGAGAAGTGAGAGCTAAAGAGAGAAGTGCAATAATATGCTTCAATAGAATGAATTTGTCACCCCTATAACTACTCCCAAGGGGAGTATTTATAGAGAAAATACGGGATGGGCTCCCAAGCCTTGGGCTTGGGAGGCCCATTTACAACTGGACCGCTACTGGGCCGAATACAAAGCCACTAATGGGCTGTACAAATGAGTAAGTGTAGAATCTGGTTCTGTGAGGTCTTCGTGGCCGACGAGGGCGTGGCCGACGAGGGCACGGCCGACGAGGGCGCGGCCGACGAGGGCACCCGGGTTCCTTGGGCTCAGGACCATAATCTGGGTTGGCACCTTTTCGGCCGACGGGGGGTCCCTTGGCCGACGAGGGCGCCACTCTGCGTCTTGTGCTTTCTGTTCTTCTGAGTATGTGGGTCCGGGGGTTCAGACCCATATACTCCATCAGGAGTCCCCCACTCTCTAAGCTGAGATGTAGACGAAGTGAAGGAGAGTAGATTCCCGTGCTTTGGTGTTTTTTGCCGATGCGGGCACTCCCAGGCCGTTAGCTGTTGCGGCGTTGGCGCTGTTTCTATCTTGGTAATCCTGTGCTTGGCCGTTACCTGCTCCTCGCTGTGGACGGGGAGGCTGTTGTTTCCTTGGTGTGTTCATTTTGGGGACGATGGGAGTCCTGCTTCGATGGTGGCCGTTGAAGGCACGTTTTCCCTTTCTTGGACGTTGATGGTTGAAGTTTTCATTTGGGCCGATGAGGCCGTTGAGGTTGAACCTTGCTTCAAGGACGATGGTGTCCTTTCTTTTGGGTGGCCGGTGAGGGTGCTCGCGCACTCCTTTTGACCGTAGCTGTCTGGCTTTCGTGTTCCTGGCCGAAGAGCCCATCATGATTAACTGTTGGCGGAGGACGATGAGTGTCCTTGCCTTAGGTGGCCAGTTGGCTGTTGCTGATGACGTTATGTGCCTTTGGCCGACGAGGCGCAGTGTGATACATGGCCGATGTGGCCATGCTTTGTGGTTACATTGTTCTTTGCATTTTTCCTTTTTGTTTTGTTGAAGCCGATGTAGTCCCCCAGTCCCCCACTGCTTCAGGCCGAAGAGAGTGAGGGGTGAAGGAGTTGCTTGAGTCCCTGGCCGAAGCGGCCTCTCCGTAGTGCCCCTGAATCCAACCCTCATGGCGATTTTCTGGCCAAGGTAACCCTGTGAGAGAACCCTTGTGCGCAGATCGCTTGTAAAGAGTTATCATCAAGAGTCGTTACGAGGAGCCGATGGCTGTGAGTTCTATGTTCCTTTGGTTTTGCGGCCGTTACGGGCGTTCATTGCGTTCCTGGCCGTTGTCATCTCCCTCTTGTTCGCATTTGTGAACTTGGTAAGCAAATAGGCCGTTGTGGGCGCTTGCTGGCACTTGTGAAGCCGGCAAGCGTATAGGCCGTAGAGTCTGTTTTGCCAGTGGGCTCTTGATATGTAGGTTGGGCCTGGCCCACTGGTGACGTGGTGGCCTCCCATTGGTGGCCGTTGATGTGGCCATTGGGAGGGTGCCACGTGTAGTGACCGTTGGGTGGGGGGTTCTATAAATACCCCTCCCCCTCCGACGAGAAACCTCATTTGCAATCTGAGTTGTTGAAGTGCTGGCCAATTTTCTAGAGAGATAAACTCCCAAGCTCGTTCTTCGTGTTCTTCGTGTTCAAGGTTAGTGTTCATCGCAATCTTCTGTACTTTGCATACTTTGCTTCCTAGGCTAGTGATCTAGTGTTAGGCGCTTGAACACCCTTATATCCTAAGTTATTCCTCTTAGGCTCGTAGTAGTTGTTATGATGAAGAGCTTGAACGAAGACTACTATCCGTACGACGACCAGCCCTCCACTAGGTCACTCGACTATGAGGTGCTTGAGGAGTTCGAGGAGGAGATACAACACTTAAGTCCTTACAAGTCCGGAGAGCCGGTGGACGACGAAGTTGAGGACGAGGAGTCCGCCTCGTCTTCAAAAGGTGAGGACGCAGGTGCGTCCCGAGTGGTGGACGGGGCGTCCACTTCCGCTGTTATTCCATGCCCGAGACCGGTGTCTGCCGTGAAGGGAGCAGATAAGCCGAAGAGAATAGGGAGGCTGAAGAGTGGGCCGGGCGTCTCCTACCTGGATCTCACAAACATCTTCCTGATCAAGCCGGAGAGCAGCGCGGCCGACTACTTGGTTGCCCAGATGTACGTGGGGCCGTTCGGGCGGGTTAGGGCACCCAGGCCGACGGACCATGTTCTTCATCCGCCACCGGGATACTTTGGAGTATACCCGATGAGTTTCGCCAAGGGGCTGAGGTTTCCCCTTCATCCCTTCATCACCGAATACCTTGACATGGTGGGGCTCCCACCGGCCCTGCTGACGCCGAACAGCTACTCATTGATGGTGGGGTTTTTGCTCCGCTGTGAGAAGCTGGGCTACAGGCCGACGACGGCTCTGTTCATGAATCTGTATCAGATAGGTCGAGGAAGCCACAAAAATTGTGCGGCCTATGCTACTCTCCAACAGCTGCCAAAGAAGAGGAGCTTCACGGACTTGCCTTCGTCCATTCATGGGTGGAAGAGCAAGTTCGTTTTTGTATCCCTTGGCGAGAATGACACCGAGTTTCCCTCCCTCGGCCATACCGGGAGGTTCAATCTGCACGACCCGCCGAAGAGTTCTATCTTGGATGCTCAGGTGGAGGCGTTCTTGGAAGGGGGGCCGAGGAGCGTGAAGGATTATATCACCGAATACAAGATGACCGCCCTCGGCTTCTTAAGATATCATGTATATGGAGACAAGGAGGACGATATCCAACTTTGGCCGAGGATGACCACTACCTTCGAAGAGGCCGACGGCCCGAATTTGGGCATTCCTGCTGAGGCCGATGGTAATTATTTCTTCGGCTTTCTTCCTTTATAATTAGTTCTTTTGCCTTGCTAATCTGTTTGTTTTCCTTTGTGTAGATTTTGCCATGGATCGCCGTTCAATCATGGCTATTGCTAAGGCCAAGGCGGCCGAGGAGTTGGCTGCAAAGGCGGCCGAGGCGGCCAGACGTGCCGCGGCAGAGGGGGGCGGGGCTACTGCTGGTGCGGCCCCGAAGCCTGCCCAATCCAAGAAGAAGAGGCCTCCAACTGACGGTCAGAAGAAATTGACTGAGGCCGGCCTGAACGTCACCAAGAAGACGAAGAGGGCACCGTCTCCTTCCCATGCTACTGAGGCCGGCACTCTGACCGTCCCAAGTGTGGACGATAGTGGTCCCGTTGTGGATCTCACTGCTGCGCCAAGCGATGCTGCCCAATCGCTCCCTCTCGTCCAGGAGCCACGGACGAAGAGGGCCGGCAAGGAGATTGCCGCCGCCACCTACCAGAATATGGTGGAATACCCCATCGGCGGGGGTGTTTTTGATGATGTCGTCCTCGGCCACGATGTGCTGGCCCAGGCCATGCCGGCCAAAGATAGGGCCTACCTGAAGAGGCTCGGGGACGTCAAGGTGTATGAGGGCGGGATGGACCTCCTCGTCCAAGTAAGTTCCCTTCCTTTTGTTTGTCGTTTTTCTCGTCGTCCGGGTGGAATCATTTGCCTGAGTTTTGTTTGCCTTTTTTATGCAGGGTGCCTTCATGCTCATTGAGAGCCACAAGAGGCAGTACCGGGAGATAGCTCGTCTGAAAGAGCTTGAGCAGAAAGCTGCCTCGGCCGATGAGGCGGTAGCTTGCTTGGATCGGCTCCGGGAGGATGCCAAGGCCTTGCAACAGAGGGCCGACGAGGCCGCTGCAGCCAGGGACGATGCCCTGGCCAAACTCGAGAAGAGCCAAAGGGCGCTTGAGGCCGAGCGGCGCAAAAACGATGAAGCCGTGAAGGCAAAAGCTGGGGCCGAGGCTGCCACTGTGAAGGCCGCTGATGAGGCCGTTAAGCAGTTCCTGGCCGAGGGGTGGAAGGCCGATGAGCGGCTCTCCTGGTGCTATGAGGTGGTGGCCGCTAAGCTTGAAGATTGGGGGATGAACTCCCCCGCCGGCCAGGAGTATTTTAGCAGGGAGATGGCCGTGTACTATAACATGGGCCAAGAGCGGATGCAGAGGCTCCTGTGTCGGCGGCTATCCCATGCTCTTAAGGCCATGAATTATACCTCCGGGTGGGCTAGACGGAACTTGAAGCTTCCCAAGCTGATGAAAGATCCCGAGGAGCAGGCCAAGCTTCCCCTGTCGGAGCGGGAGTCCCCCATCGAGAGTTCCGGTCTCGGCGAGCCGGATTACACAGAGTTTGACTTCCTGGACGATGCCACCAGTTCTGCGGCTGCTGCTGGCCAGGAGACTGAGGCCGAGGAGGGAGCCGAAGATGTCGAAGAGCCAGCCGAGGATGGAGGCGCCCAAGAGGCTTGATCGGCTACTCCCCGCTCCCTTGTAATTAGTTTTTTATTTTTGCCCAATTGATGTAATGGCCGAAGCGCCCACCATTGTACTGAATTGCTTATGAATGAAGATTTTGCTGTCCTGTTCGGCTTTGAATTTCTTGTGTGTTTATTGCCTTTTGCCATTTCAATTCTGAAATTTGTCTAAGTGTAAAAGTTACAACTTAGGTCACCCGCGAGTGTCGGCTACGTCCGTGAGGTAGGCCATTCAGTCTGGTGGCCTGGTCGGCCTGTCCGGTCTTTCTTCGCTGTTGTAATACTTGGAATTTCTTCAAAAAATTTCTAAGTGTTTTAGGTCCAATTAGATAGGATATGTCCTAGTTTCTTTCTTTCCGTCCTGACTGAGGCGGGCAAGATGGGGTGTTCGCTGCGTCCTGGCGTCCTGGTGTCTAACTTCAAGTGAATGGGTGTTCTCATCGTCCTGGTGTTGGATCTCTCCTCATTATTGACAAATGCTTTGGGAGATTTCCTAAGTGTTGAACCAATGTCGTTGTCGGCCCAGTGTTTCTCTTGGCCGTCGTGTTCCCTTGTTTCTGAGCTGATCATGAAGGTCGGCCTGGATCCTTGTGTTGTGGCCGATAAGGGCACCTTGAACTTACTTTTTTGAACTTAGAATTTTTCTAAGTACACACGCAAGGCGTAGGTAGCTAACGGCCTTGGAGTATACAGGTACCCGCTTCGTCTAGAGTTCCTCCATTTAAGTACTTAGAGATTTTTCTAAGTATAAATGTAAGACATAGTTCCTTCTTTGCGGTACCGCTGCCGGCTAAGAGATGGCCCTACCATCATCGGCCAAGGTCTGGCTTTGTGGCCGATGAGGGTGCCCCTTGCTTTCCCCAAGAGAAGGCCCTACCTTCATCGGCTAAGGCATAGTTCCTTCTTGAGGAACTTTTTTCCTCAGAATTTTCTCTAAGTGTTTGGTAAACACTTGAACAAATTCCCAAAGAACTTTCGCTTGACCAACAGCCTGGGTTCCAGTGCCTGTATCGGCCATCCGGGATGCTGTGGCAAGTAGGGATTGTTTCTTGGTTGCTTGATTCTTCCGTGGGTGTGATAAGTGCCCGCTTCGTCCTGGTCATCCTCAGGATTGTTATTCTTTATTACATTCCAAGCGTTGGTGCTTCAAAGGGCTGTGGCCGATGAAGGTTACCTCTCGCGTGTCACCCAACCGATTCGGTTAGGGTTTTATAGGCGTATGCTTCGGCCTTGACCATTCCCTTGTGGTGTGTGGACGTATCGTCCATGTCACCTGTTAGTGGTACTACACTTGTGTTCAACTGATATGTACTTGGCCAAGTTGGGTCTGAATTGTGGGGATTTTATTTTTCCATTGCTCGAGGCCGGCAAGGGCGCGCGGTCCTCGGCTTCCCTCTTTTTTTTTTTTGTTTTTTTTTGTTCCCTATTTCAGGGGAGTATCCTTCTTTCAGGCTTCGGCCGAAGGGTGTGCTCGTCCTTCGGTCGGTTCGGACTTCGTTTATAACGTCCGTGGTCTCAGGGCGGGTCCCGGCGCCTATTTATGACGCGGGCTAGACTTTTGGTCGGTTTCCAACGGCTTTCGTTGCCCATCCCTGAGTTTTGGGATTTTGTCACCTCGGCCATGATTTCAGGCCTGTAGTCCTGCGATTTGGCGCGTGGACGACGCAGTGAGCTTCCCGTTTCAAGACGTGGGCCGTTTGCGGGCCCCTCGTCCTGGGGACATCGTCGGCCATACCTGAGCGTTTCACTTCTAGGCTTACGGGGCCAGGACGACGTGCTCTCTCAGCTAGGCCTGAGCCCTTCGCTGATACAAAATACAATGGGGTGCGTGAGCTTGTCGCTCGTAGGCTGCAAATGCAAGGTGCCACGTCGGCCATGCCTGAGCCTTTCGCTCTAAGGTGGCCGATGAGGGCACCTGTTAATGTTTTACTTTAAATTCCAGAGAAAAAATCAAGAGGAGCATGATTTTATTCATAAGTGGCTCGAGGCCGAGGGTGGCGTTCAATCAGTAACCCGTTAAGGGGTGAGGGCTTCGCCATCTGCACCTCCTTCGGATTACTGATAAAACTTCACCAGATGGTGTACATTCCACGTTCGTGGTACATTGGACCCATTCGGGCGTTTAAGCTTGTAGGTGCCGGGTTTGACCACGGCACTGACGATGTAGGGCCCTTCGTACTTCAATGCTAGCTTGCCACCCTCTGTCGGCTGGCTTGCTTCCCTTCGGCGGAGGACGTAGCCCCCCACCTGAAATTCTCGGGAACGTACCTTGGCGTCATAGTATGATTTTACTTGACGCCGGTAGTGCTCTGCTCGGACGTAAGCTTGCTCACGCCTCTCATCGACTAGGTGCAGGTCAATCTTCATGTTCTCTTCGTTGGCGTCAGGCTCGTATTTTTCCACCCGCCGGCTGGGGATGGCAACTTCCGTGGGTGCCTTTGCCTCAAAGCCGTAACACAGGGCGAAAGGCGTTTCACCTGTCGCCCTCCTCGGCGTGGTTCTGTAGCACCACAGGATGTTGGGGAGCTCGTCGACCCAACTACCCCCTGCGGCCTGGAGTTTCTTTTTCAGCCCCTCCATGATTGTCCTGTTGGCGTTCTCGACCTGCCCGTTGCCCTGAGGGTAGGCAACGGAGGAGAAACGATGCTTCACCCCAAACTCCCGGAGGAGCTCCTGAAAAGGGGCTGCCTCAAATTGGGTGCCGTTGACTGATATGATCTCCTGGGGGACGCCGAAGCGTGTGATGATGTTTTTGTAAACAAATTTTTGGCATCTGGCCCCCGTGATGCTGGCCAGGGGTTCCGCCTCGACCCACTTGGTGAAGTAGTCGACGGCGACGATGATGTAGCGGTTGTTCCCGGCGGCTCTGGGCAGGGGGCCGACCAGGTCAATCCCCCATCTGGAGAATGGAATTGCAGTGCTGACGGGGGCGTAGTTGACGGCTAGCCGACCAGGGGCCTTCTGGAGTACCTGGCATGTGGTACACTTCCTGGCCAGGTCAGCGCAGTCTCGTGCCATCGTCGGCCAGAAGAAGCCCTGGATGACGAGACGCCGGGACATGCTGAAAGGGCCCTGGTGCGAGGAGCAAACACCACAATGAACTTCTTCCATGGCCACGTCGGCCTCGTCCTGGTGGAGGCATCGAAGGAGAGTGCCATTATAGGATCGTTTGTAGAGTTTGCCGTCTTCAATGGTGTAGCTTGGGGCCCTGAGTTTGGCAAGTTTGGCCCTCTCCTCGTCCGGGGGCAGCTCTCCCGTTGCGATGAAGGTGACGATGTCGGAGATCCAGTCCTCTGGTCGCTGTTGGACGCACAAGACGGGGCTGGCATGGATGCTGGACATGCTCAACTCCTCGATCTTGGCCAGCTGGGAGATGTGCTCCGGGGTGTCCGAGCTGAGTTTGGAGAGGATGTCAGCCTCGGCGTTCTCGGCCCTTGGGATCTGTGTGATCTCGTGGGTTTCGAACGCCTTCAGCAGCTCCTCCGCTGCTTGTTTGTACTGTCGCATCCGTCCCTCCTTTGCTTCGTACGATCCCTCCACCTGGCCCACTACCAGTTTGGAGTCGCACTGGGGGAGCTGCTTCCCGATCCTGAGGACCCGCTCCGGCCGGGAGGTATTCAGAGGGACCTCCTCGACCTCCTCGGCCAGCTCAGCGTGCGGCCTCTCCTCGTCCTTGGCAACGGCTGCCATGATGGTGTCTATCCTCTGACCTTCCCTCTCGGCCGGCCTCATCAGTTTGAGGTAGCATGCCCTGTCTATCCTCTGGTTCCCTCTGGCGTAGCTGATGCCGTCATTGGTGGGGAACTTCAGACACAAGTGCTTCATGGAGATGATGGCCTCCAAGTCCTCCAGCGCTGGCCGCCCCAAGATCAGGTTGTGGGCGTACTGGAGGTTGACCACCATGAACTCCATGTCAATCCTGGCGCGGTGGGGGCCGTCACCGACCTCCACGGGGAGGACTATCGTGCCCTCGGCGTCGATAGAGTCCCCGGTGAAGCCGGATAACGGTGTCTTGATCGGCTTCAGCAGAGCTCTGTCCAGCTTCAGCTGCCTGAAGGTATCCAGGTACATCACGTTGACGGAGCTCCCCGTATCGATGTAAGTGTGGTGGATGATGGAGTCACCGATCTCACACCGGATGACGAGGGCGTCCCTGTGTGATTCCGTACCCGGAGGCAAATCCTTGTCGGTGAAGGTGATCGCCTCCGTCCGCTGCTTCTTCGGCTGGGGGGGAACGTGGGACACCTCCCCAATGTAGAGGGTTCGGGCCCATTTCTTTCTCTAAGTGGCGGAGTCCCCCCCAGTGTTTCCACCTACGATGAGGTGAATGTGATTCTTCTTTGGCGGGGGCTCTTCGAAGTCCTCGTCGTCGTTGAGCCAACCAATCTCCCGCTTCTTCGCAGAGGGTTCGCCCCCATGTTTGCCGGTGTTTACCCATGTGTTTTTGCGTGGGCCACCTTTAACAAACTGGGAGAGTTCCCCCTGGCGAATAAGGCGCTCGATGGCCTTCTTCAGTGTGATGCAATCGTCGGTGTTGTGCGACGAGTTCTTGTGGAACCGGCAGTATGTGCCGCCCTGCTGGATGGCAAGGACCTCCTCGGCCGGCCGAGGGGCCTGCTCGATGAGGCCATGCTTCTCGGCATAGTCGAGGATGATGCCGACCGGGTGAGTGAGGGTAACTCCCGGCCGTTCCAACCTTGGCCGCCAGTGGCGATCTTTCTTACTCTGTCCACCAGAGCCGTGACGGCCCTGGGCACCCTGGCCGGCCGGGGACGGACCCGGGGCCGGCGAAGGATTTGTCTTCTTGGAGGGATGGCCCCTCTCTTTCTTGTGATTGTGGAGCTCGTCGGCGTCGGCATACAAGCCTCCGCGCTGGAGCGCCTTGGCGTACGACCTCGGGGGGTCGGTGATGAGGCTCCTAGCGTACGGGGAGCTGCGGAGGGCTTCCTGATACAAGGCGAGGAGGGTGCGCTCATCGGCCCCCTCGACTTCTTCGGTCTCCCTCGTCCACCGATCAAAGAATGGCCGGAGGGACTCATCATGCTGCTGCTTGACGGAGAGGAG